CTGAATTTTCTTTGTGGTGTCGATATATTACAGTGTAAGTTTCAAACAGATTCAACCAACAATTTCTCTGTAAAAAAATAAAATGACGGCGGAATTTTTGAAACGTCGCATGGCGCTTGTGATACTTTGGCCGGGAGGTGACGAATTGTGGAAGTATTCGCAGCAGTGGATCTCCGATACTATGGAGGCGCAGAAGAGCATCGATCTCTGGTCTAAGTTTTGTTGGTTTTCTTTTGAAACAAACAAATCATTAACAGTTTTAAAATCAACGAGAAGAACTACCTATAATGTCTCTTGGGCTTAGAGCGTTTGAGAGACAGTACTGCCTTCCCATAGTGTCATAGTTGCGACTTACGAAATAGCAGCGCCGGCGCACCAACAAGAAAGCATGTTGAAAAAGATGTCAGCAATTATCATAGCTCATAATTCATTCGACATACGACGCTTCACTCAGAGAATCTCTTAGTTAATAACGACCAGAACATACGTTACGTTAAATTGCCATGTCATAGTGGCTGCCAATAAAAAAGAGTGAAGGAAATATGAGAAAAAAGTGGATTAGCGCCCTCGAATACGGGTCACACTGAGCCCAGTCAGACAGTTGCAACTTAACGATGATGCGCTGTCCTCGTGGATATCGCCCAAAAATCTTTTAAATCGATGGCTAAATAAGTTGAGAAAAAGTGCATTTCCAGTTTCGACGTTACAACATACATATCGACGGTGAAACTACCAAACCACGTATCTCGGTTTGCGACGTCGCAGACTTCCTGTCATACTTTATTTTTTAAATCAAAAACTACTTAACATCCAGTCTTAGAAATTTCTGTGATTTTTCCTCTTTGTGCGGAGAAAATTCCGTGAAAATTTCAAGGAATGATATTGATTTGGTCTACTTCAAAAAAATAAAATGTGAGCGTAGATTTTTAAACACCGCAAACGAGATACGTGGTTTGGTAGTTTCACCGTCGATATGCCTGCTTATGTAGTATTTTTCTAATAATAAATGTGCCTAATTAGCAGTTTTTTTAATGCATTATTTGTCTACTCTCCTTCAATAGCAGCATCTATTCACAGAACATTTCAATGAGACATTCGATTGGTTTTTCTTTTTGGGAAAAAATGAAAAATTATCGATTTTTGAGCGTCAAATTGTGGGTAGATACGCGTTTTCCGATTTAAGGCATGGTAATACTATCTTGAACGAACGTTTTGGCTCGGAGTTCCACCGAAACATTTTCTTTGAACTAGAGGTACACGAGCAATGAATTGAGCGTCATAAAATTATGTACTCGCTCAAAATAAACCCGCATTATATTTAGTAGGTATTAACGATTGCAGGACTGTTAATCATGCGTTTGCTTAACGAACCCGAGTATTAACATTACAGTTCATGATAATAATCATCTTACGCTGACAAGTAGATTTATTGGGATCAAGAAGAGCTGAAAATATAGGGTTAATATCTATCTTTTATATCCTGAAAGCTAAACCATTAAGTGTGATCATAGCCTACGTTTCATGACCGGTCAATTTTTCCCTGACTTTCTAAAATTCCCTGACATTTCCCGGTATTCTTGACTGTGGCAACCCTATGGGTCTTAAAGAGAATCGAAGGGAGAGAAGGGAGATAAAAGACGTTCGATTTTCCTAAATTTTTTCTTTTTTCAGAAATTAGAGGCATGAATCAAAGATTGGTGCCTTAAGACGAATCTTCGGAAAAAGCCAATCGACTTGAATTTCGCAGCGAGACAACACGATACCGACATTGAAACGAGTTGTTGTCGAAAAGGAAACATGGTCATTTTCAAAAGAGCTCCGGGGAGTTAAGGACAGGGTGGCAAAATTACATGAAAAATAAAATCTTGAAATTTCACGTGAAATATTTCATGAAATTTCAGAAATTTATGAAAGCTATTGAAAAATACAAGTTCCTTTTTATGTTTCGAAGGTTGTAAAAATCGTGATTTTCTTCTATTTTTGGGTGTTTGAGTGCGGGTTGCATACTCGGCCCCTAAAAAATATGAAATATTTCATAGCCTCGTGAAATTTCACAAAATATTTCACTGAAATTTCCAATCTTTCATTTCTTTCTTACGTTTCATGCCACCCTGGTTGAGGAAAGAATGCTAAAATTTTGAGCGCATCCGAAAATAGACATGTTTCTGCGATCCGACGATTGGCACTTCTGCACTAACGGAGCAGGAAATCCGCGATTAGCCGCGCTGCCTTCTTCACGCCTACACGAGGAACAAATCCATTGTGTCACGTGCAACGGATTTAGACTGAAGACATCCACTCTGCCGTGCTACGGAAAAAAGCCGTATGAGCATTTGAATGTTGCCAAATTGCCTCTAGGAAAATATTTATTTTTGAAGGAACTTATGAATATTTTTCATTGAAATTTTCAGACACTTCAGACCAAATTACGAACAACATTTTCTAAAAAATTGGAAGAAAATCATTCATACATTTTCCCGAAAATTCGTGATTTCTTGAAGGATATTTGGCAACGTCTGAAGGCTCATACGACGTTCTTCCTTACCATGGCAGCACTCAACTCTAAGGAATCTCACCCACCAAGAGAGATCGGACAACTGAAATCCAGTTTTGATTGGCTTCCGTTTCCCGGCCCTGATTGGCTCCCAGGGCGTCAGGAACGCTCCCGTAAGTATAGATCGTATTCGATAAATCAAACGGGTGAGATTATATAGATATCGATTGGTTCAACATGTAAAGATAGCCTCAAAAGTCAATTAAGCAATCTGAGGGAACGGGTATTTCGTGATTTGATAGAATTTTTACCTGTTTAAGTACCAAATGACCATGAAAAGTGAAATCGTTCGGGATTTTCTCATTTTCAGCTTCTCAAACTGAAATCCTTGAGTTTTTATTTAAGGTTATGTTATATATTTTGAACCAAAAGATACATCGGACTACTGTCGAATACGATCCAAGGATTCTCCAACCCCCCGCCCCCTCCAAAAAAGTCCGAGCATTCCTCTATTTCATGCGACCGTGAACGTTTCTACACCCCTGCTGATGATGATTCCGGACACTTGTGAATAAATCCACGCTGCAGTATCTTGCGACGGAAACTGGCGCTAGTTTTTTGCAGAACTTGACGTGACGTCCATAGCCTTTAGCTGACCCAGACCAAGAGCCTTCAGACGTTGCCACATTTTCTCCGATTGTGTTCCTTTTTGAGGAGGAGTATGAGATTTCCTCTTGAAATTTTCCGATGATTCAGATCTGATCGTGAATAAAATTCTTTGAAAAATTCGAATGAGAATATTGACAGACTTCCCTGGAAATTCATATTTTATCGACGGAAATTTGGCAACACATGGGTGCCCATGCGGCGTTTTTCCTTAGCACGAGTGAGAGAGGCGGAGGAACTAACGACGGTTACCACGAAGAATCCGAGAGGGGGTAATATAATCTTTGTCCACGATTCGCGAAGGGCCTACGTTCGAGAGTCACCACAATTCGAAATTCCGTCAGCTAGCGTGTATTCGTCGCTTCGCAGACGTGGGAACGTAACTCTATTTCCACGTGAGTTCCAAAAAGAACGGGGTCGTGTGGGCAACAGAGCTCATCTGCAAATGCAGTTCAGTACTTAGCTGCAAGAGCGGAGTGACAAATTGATCGCTTAGATGACTCGTCCTAAACATCAGGGTTGCCACAGAATTTAGAAAATAGAATTCCCTGACATTTCCCTGATTTCCCAGACACATTTTGGTGAAACTCCCTGACAATTGAAGATGTGACGGATGGTTAAGAGGGCATGCTTGAAAACAGTTTTCAGGCAATATTTCTTGTTCAAAACCTCAAACCCATTCTAGAAAGCAAATGAAGGCGATTTAACAAATTTCCCCTGACATTTTCGTTGTTTTCCCTGACATTTCCCGGTTTACCTTGACTTTTTATCTCAAATCCATTTTAGAAAGCAAAGTAAGGTGATTTAGGGGCCCATCAACTTGCGTCAAAATCTAAGATGTTCATGAAAATTCATTGGTTGAATGGGTCAGTTGCGCTAGTCACAAAATTGTATTTTAATGCTTGATTCTTGTAGATTAGCAAAAAATAACAAGATCCGTCCAAACCGCAACTTTCTACGTTGAATATTGACCGAAATATCGCCCTTTGAAAAGTAAGGTTTTTGACGTCATCCACGACGGCATTGACACCCTTGGTTTCTTCATCTTTTGTTCGACCAGTAATGCAGAGGGTGAAATGGGAAACTTTAATGACGTTAAACGTAAACAAATTAAAGGAACAGTGGGATTTGCACTTTAAAGATCTTCTTATCAGGAGATAATGCACTCGCCGCGAAGAGATTGGGTGGTCAGTCAGTTCACCTCAATTTGTTTACGTTTAACTTCATTGGAGTTTTGCGTTGGACTCTCTGCATCACTGATCAAACAAAAGAGGAAGAAACCAAGGAAGTCACTACGGCGGTGGATGATGTCAAAAACCTGACTTTCCAAAGGACGATTTCTCGGTTAATATTGAACGTAGAAAGTTGCCGTTTGGACAGATCTTATCATTTTCAGCTAATCTACAAGAGTCAAGCATCAAAACACGATTCTGTGATCAGCGCAACTGACCCATTGACATGGAATGGCATCATCATGTAAGATCAAACACTCTTTACAAAGTTGAATCTTTCTCCTGCCTTGACTATGAACAGCTAGAGCTCGTGTCAGATAAGTCAGCCTTTGCTTGCTTTTCGACATTCAAACGCAGTAGAACGTTTCGCATATCTTCACACAGCGGCGTTGTTGCCTTCAGTCAATCTTTGATAGCTCTATGACCACAGAGGCACAGACTTTTGCAAACTGAAAGTAAACAACTGCCGACTTACCTAACATAAGTTCTGGACACAGTAAGAGTTACATGAGTCGATGACATTTTTTTTCGACAGAATTTTACCAGAATATGTTGAATTTGTTCGAAATTGCTTAAATTAACTGAGGCCAAAAAAATGAAAGACTCACCTTTCAGAATCTGCATGATCTTCCAGTTGCGCTTCGTCTCCATTGTTGGTGGTATTTTGGACATCATTGAGAGATTCAACTAGTGTAGACTGGACTCCTAGCTGCTCAATCATTTTGTTTTCACTTATTTCCACTTCATTTAGCATTGACATTGCAGACGGATAAGATTGCTGGTTTAGAGAAGACGGGATGTAGTGATGGCCCGATGAAGGTTGAGATACAGGATAATTCGGTAAATGCTGGGTCTGGGCTGGCTGATTTGTCGGTTGAATGTTGGTAACAGTAAAATTAGCTTGTTGATTTGTCATGTGATTGGTTGGCGGCATCATAGATGGCTGTGCCATCATTTGCTGGGGCATCATTTGGTTTTGAACCATTGTCTGAGGAGGCATCACCGATTGCTGTGGTTGAATATTGTTGGATTGTTGATTCATCAATTGCTGAGGTTGAACTTGATTAGACGGCTGCGTCATCATTTGCTGAGGTTGCGACTGTAGATTAGTTTGCGTAAGAATAGGTTGTGATTGAACTGGGGGTGTGCTTGCCTGCGACATCATATGTGATTGCATCTGCTGAGCGAGCAACTGCTGGGGCTGAACAGTATTTGCTGGCTGTTGCGAGATAACTTGCTGAGTTTGGATGGGCGCTTGCTGCTGCATCATTTGCTGGGGCTGTGTCTGTATTGATATCAGAGTCGAGGGCTGAGACTGTGAGTTAGACTGCTGTCCCATCATTTGTTGTGGTTGATTCTGTTGTGTTGTCGGCTGAGCCATCATATGTTGCGGCTGAGACTGCACAACCGTATTTTGTGACATCATCTGTTGTTGCGGTTGATTAGGAATCTGATTTTGTTGGGTCATCATCGGCTGAGCCTGAGATTGCTGAGACATGACTGGCTGTGATTGGATAAGGTTAGTCTGAGTTTGAGGTTGCGCAGGCATGGAATTTGAAATTATCGGCACTGTTTGTTGAGGCTGGCCTTGCATTGAATTAGGCTGACTAATAACTTGTGGTTGAGACTGTTGCGTCATTATTTGCTGAGGCTGACTCGTACTTACTACTTGTTGGGGTTGATGAACGGGTATCATGTTTGTTAAATTTTGGTTCTGCGAGTTAATGATAGGAACTTGGTTACTCAAGGCATTAGAATTGTGGACAACTGAAGGGTTTGTGTAATACTGTTGAGCTTGCTGCGGCATTGGTTGTGGCTGCTGGGGAACAACTGGCTGTTGAGAACCAACAACAGGGGTACATTGTTGCACAAATGCAGGCTGCTGTTGTGATACAGGGATTTGCTGCATCATTTGCACCTGTTGGTGCTGCTGCTGCTGTGGTTGTTGTGGTTGTTGAAACTGCTGTTGAGGGACATTTTGTACCTGAATTGGTTGTACCACTTGCGGCGGAGGCATTGATGTTTGATACTGTTGTTGGACATGCTGTTGCATTGGCATTGATTGCTGCATTACGTTGTTCACATTCATATGCTGCTGTTGTTGATTACTGTTCGTTGCGTTTTGCATCTGATAATTTGCATTCGCCAATGCTTGTTGCAGCTGCTGAGCCTGCAAGCTTTGATGTTGGTTCTGGTTAATAAAATTAGGCGTCTGCTGTAATGGAATTTGAGACATGCTTTGAGCATGCTGTTGGGGTTGTGAGCAATTTACAGGATTGAATTGAAGAGTTTGTCCAGGAGACGCATTGGAATGAGTTGCTGGTGCACTCTGCGGTGGAGCAGACACACTGTGATTTTGTCCGGACATAGTATGGTTGGACCCAGGTACATTTTGGGCTTGTCCAGGCAAACTTTGGTTCAGTCCAGAGGATGCAGATGTGATTTGTTCATTCTGAGCATGATTATTGCTACTATTTACATGATCAGAACTAACCGGTTCATCATTGACTAAATTTGAATCAGCTACAGAAATTCCACTATCATTCCCAGTATGGAGCCCAGATTGATTGTCAGAAGGATCAGATGGTTTACTAATAGAATTGGGTTTTGATTGGACAATAGAATGATCTAAGAAGTCCATACAGACCCAACGTCCACGTTTGAATGGTTCTGTGCTTTCTATTTTCACCACTTTAAACCTTTCGTTGCGACCAGGATGATTATGAAGGTCCCTCATATCAGCCTCGTGTTGTTTTGCACCTAAAACACTAAGATTTAATACACTATCTGCAACAGTCACATGTAAATCATTGTTCGATATAGCACCACACTGTGCGGAGGAATTACTATTATTACAAATGTCTGGGGCAGAAACAATTGCTAAACCGTACTGAGAGCTTGTGGGTATGACAGGAGCGGATCCCAACGATGTGGATGAGTTGAAAAATACATCCTCTTTAGAAAATGTGTCTTCAGAGAAACTAGGTGTTTCATTTTCGACATCTGTTACTCGTGAGGTATCTATCACATCCGACATGTCATCGGTGTGCGACTCGTCTAGATCATCAGCAGAATCTTCGCCACCATCATTACTCACTCTAGAACCGACAGTAACACTAGTGATTTGAAAAGAAGTCTTTTTCTTTTGGTTGTTACCAGACGATAGAGGTGTGGGTTGCCCAGAAACTTTATCCAGATCTCCGCAGTTACAGTGAATATCGCTGGAGGCTCTACTGGAACTTTTGGATAATTTACTATTATCTCCCACTATGGGTGTTTTTTGACTAACATCTTCAGCCATAGCCTAGACAAATTCACTAAATGTAAAGAATCTCCATGTAAATAAGACTCTTGCTGAGAGACGACGGGACAGCACTAAACATCATACCACGAAAACTACGCGAGGAGACAAAAACACCAATTCACTAGATTCCGAAAACACATACCTCACAGGAACTGAATTCACCAAAATACTTAGGGCCTTTAATTAGTTCACTAGCCCCGTCTAATAACAAATCCATTGCATTAGCAGCCATTTATAGGCCTTGCCCTTGAATTATTTTTTTGAGACTGTTTTTGCATGACACCAAGCAGTAATGCCAACATAGTAGAGAGAGAAATTCTCTTCCCTCCCCATGTGCAGTGCCGTGCACTTCAAGTGTTGCACGTAGTTCACGACTTGGCCGCTTTCTACCCGCAGACACAGCGCTAGTAGTCATCCCCGGAGGAGGTACCTCATTTTATTTTATTTGATTATTTGAAGCAAAGTTGCTGACGGCCATAATTATACATTTTTCCCATTATACTTGCAATCATATCCAGGAGCGTGTTGTTAAAGTCCTCTATGCATGAACTTGTCCAATTCAGAGGGTAAATTCATAACAGTGTGGCATGTCCACAGATTCGACTCGTACAGGGAACTCCAGACTGTTACGAAATTGCGTCGCGACAATCTGAAGGCGATTTATATTCGGACGACAGATATAACGTTGCGGAAGACTTGAAGACCTAGGTAGATACTGCGTAGCACAACAGACAATTAGCAAAGTACTTACATCGACAATAAATCTACTGAACAGGCATCTTCGTATCTTCATTGTTGTGTTTCAAAAATTTCCTCCCCAAAATTGTGTCGATCGAGTAGATATTCGCATATTTCGAAACATTACCTATCGTTAGGTAAAATTTAACTAAACTCTTACAAATTTTAGTATACATTTTTTTTATTTTATATAAATTAAAAAATAATAAAATGAGAGGGAAAAACTAATTTAAAAAAAATTAAATTAAAAAATAACAAAATGAGAGAAAAGGCTATATGACCAAAAAAAAATTTGAGAAGTTTCCATCTGTAGGTATTTGATCACTTGGTCTCAATAGTGGGATAGTAAAAGGATACAGATTTTAGTGCCCTTTTTGTTTTGTAGAACCTCTTGTTCATATTGTTCATCATTCAAGCTCTTAATTGATTTGGATGGACTAGAAAAAGAAGAAGGGAATCGAGGTTACTGCAAGTTCCTCTTTCTATTCTGAACTTTGCACGCTCGATTTTCTGACCTTAATTGCAAGGAATAGTTTTAACTTTGCTCGTCCCATATTACCGATGTTCTTGTCCATCAGGTAGAAGATTTACCGTGCATGGTCTTAAGATCCACCGTAGAGCTGGAACTCCTCAAAAGCGGAACAGGCGGGTTAGTGGGTGCACCTTCGGAGTTTTTGTACACCGCACCATAGTTGATTGCCTATCTATGATTTTAAAGGGGCTTCAAATGTTGCGTACCGATATAGTACGGTGCAATCAATATTGCGGGATCAGCATCCTCGCGTCAACAACTTTTATGTGACACTCTGTTCTGAACGAAGGTTTCCTATTTTATTTTTTCGGAGAGAAATAAGTCAACTTTATGATGTGCGATTTTGACGAGATATTCTGCAAATTGAGAAGAAAAATCAAAGATTTAAATGAATTACGTTGACTGGTTTTTCAAGAAAACCATGAATTATGATGGAAAGTTTGTAAAATCACAAATGGAGATACGTGGTTTCTCACTGTGGTTGTCGATATTTTCCTCAGGAAAATTTCATGTAGAATACGAGGGGCACATCAAAAATTTTCAAATTCAACTCGTAAGTGAGCAATGTTTCCGGGAAATTCAAACATACTGCATGCCGAAAAACTTAGGTAAACTTGAGTCACAGTCGAACACATAACTAATTTCAATGTGTATTAATTGGGATTGAGAATTGAGGGGCTTAAAGGACAAGGCGCATAAGTGCAGTTTTCGAAAAAATTGAGATATTAATTATTTCAAGTAAAACTTGACTTAATTTTCATTCTGTGAAACAATTTCTCCGGAATTTCAATTTTTAAGCAACAAAAAGTAAGTTCAAACTTTCTTTCATCCATAAGGATCCGTGTAACTGCATCTATACGCCTTGCGCTTTGTCCTCCAAGCCCCTCAGCTGATCTTTCCAGCGAGCTGAGTTTTTCTTGGACACTGTAGAAAATCCATGAATCGCAGGAGAGAGGACTTTTCTTTAGAGAGAAATTCTGTTTATTTGCCGAGAATGTTTGTTTGCGATTGCCGATTTGACCTTTATTGATTTTGGGTTTTGTGCGAGCGAGAACTTCTAGTTTACTGATTTCAGAAAGAACTATTAACATCAATGCCCCACTTACAAGTTGATTTTGACTTTTACAACATGTCTAAGAGTCTTCACACAATTTTGACTGAATTCTAACCAGGCCCGCCACAAGGGGGGGGGGGATACTGGCTCCCTGGTACCGGGGCCCGGGTCCCGAAGGGGGCCCGTGTTACCCGTGAAAAACCACTGCGAATTTACATGCAACCCTTGTTTCGTAAGAAAAGGTGAAAAATTTACCCTAAAAATTTCGCAAAAGGTGAATAGATTTTCAGAAACACGCTGGGGAACTGTAGAATTCTTCTTAACTTTTCAAAGAAGTATACTTCCGATTACCAAGTTCCGATACCCAAATTATCGTTTTGCATAGTTCATATTCTTTTGTTTTCATTTCGAACCACTTGTTTAATTATAATCCTCCAATAAAAACCACCCATTTGCTAAATACAATTCTACCTGAAGCGTACTTACGCACATTCATAATTGCAAAAATGTTAACGGAGATCGAAAAGGCTAACGTGCTTGAAGGCTATTTCAATTGTAATCATCCGTCGCATTTCTAAGGCGCAATGATACAACTATTTGAACTCTCCGGGATGCGTGAAGTATCACGCCGCATTTGAAGGCGTTTTCAAAACAGCTAAGTTCCGATACCCGAATTATCGTTTTGCATAGTTCATATTCCTTTGTTATATTCCGTACCACTCGTTTATTTTTAATCCTCGTAGAAAAACCACCCATTTGTAAATACAATTCTAGCTGAAGCGCACTTCCGCTATGCATTCACTACTGCAAAAATTTCAGAGGAAATCGCCAAGCCCAGCGTGCATGGAGGCTATATGCATTTAAATCTTCCGTCGCATTTCTAAGGCGCAATGATACAACTATTTGAACTCTCCGGAATGCGTGAGTTATCACGCCGCATTTGATGGCGTTTTCAAAACAGCCAAGTTCCGATGCCCAAATCATCGTTTTGCATAGTTCATATTCTTTTGTTATATTCCGTACCACTCTTTTATTTTTAATCCTCGATTATTTTTAATCCTCGATTATTTTTAATCCTCGTAGAAAAACCACCCATTTGCTAAATACAATTCTAGCTGAAGCGTACTGAAGCACATTCATGACTGCAAAAATGTTAACGGAGATCGAAAAGTCCAGCGTGCATGAAGGGTATCTCAATTGTAATCTTCCGTTGCATTTCTACATAGAGTACATAGAGTCGTAATGTAAATGGGAGAGCTGGCGCCATGTTCTGCTCGACGAGTTCCGAGCCCGGTGTGCGCCGAGTTCGGGTCACTTTTTCGATACATTTTCGATCCAAAATGGCGGTGTGGAATACATGGTGATTCCTATCTCCTTCGTTGTTGTTGTTGTTGTCATCGGATGGCCGGGTACCCGTGTATCGCAAACAATCGATTATGTATCGAAAAAGTGACCCGGCGTCACACAGGAGTCTCGGAATTCGGGACATGGAAAATGCTTAAAAGTGGCGCCAGCTCTCCCAATTACATTACGACTCTATGTACTCTATGCATTTCTAAGGCGCAATGATACAACTATTTGAACTTTTCGGGATTGCGTGAGGTATCACGCCGCATTTGAAGGCGTTGTCAAAACAGCCAAGTTCCGATACCCAAATTATCGTTTTGCATAGTTCATATTCTTTTGTTATATTCCGTACCACTCATTTATTTTTAATCCTCGTAGAAAAACCACCCATTTTCTACATACAATTCTAGCTGGAGCGCACTTCAGCTATGCATTCACCACTGCAAAAATGTCAAAGGAGATCGACAAGCCCAGCTTGCATGAAGGCAGGCCGGGCACAAGGCGGGGATACTGGGTCCCTGGTACCGGGGCCCGGGCCCCGGAGAGGGCCCGTGTTACCCGTGAAAAACCACTACGAATTCACTTGCAACCCTTGTTTCGTAAGAAAAAGTGAAATATTTACCCTAAAAATTTAAAAGGTGTATATGTGAATAGGATTAAAAAATAAAAGGTGAATAGATTTTCAGAAACACGCTGGGGCACTGTAGAATTCTTCTTAGATTTTCAAAGAAGTTTACCTCTTGGAAAATTTCTATCTATTTTCAAGATTTTCAGTACAGAGGGATATTTTCAGTAACTGCGTTTTATTTTCTTCCGTCGTCAGATGCTAAGAGTCTCCAGTCTGGGCATCCTCGACTTCAATGGCTCATGGCTCAACTCCCTTGCCAAAGACAAACGAAGGGGGAATTCAGGGGGGCCTGGCCCTCTTAGAACTGAAAATAGTATCATATGCCCCCCCCCCAAGAAAAAACAATTATTCCGCAGAAATTGATGGAAAAATTCTTTATGGAAGATTCAAAATGGTTCCGATTAGTCGTATAAATTCTAAAATTTCTCGGGGGATGCCCCTCGGACTCCCCCCCCCCTCCTTGCTTGGGGCCCGGACCTTAAAACTGGTACCAGGGCCCGCGATGGGATGTGGCGGGCCTGATTCTAACGCTGTCTTCTATTTTTCCAACGCCTTTTTCCATGTAACATTTGAAACCGATTTTTTTCGTCGAAATGAATACTTTATGCAACACAGTATTACAAACTCTCCGTAATTTGGTCAAATATTATGAAATAGAGAGGGTGCTCCAAGCTAAAGTAATAATTCCTCAAGGGCCCATACCATGCACGTTGGGTTTGGGCCAGCTGCGCAACTTAACTGACTGCATGACAATGCGTAGAGTATCACAAAGGGATGAAGGCGCTCTCAGCCAAAATGAAGTATCTTGAAGGAAACGAAGCATAGTCCCAAGAAAAGCTTATTGGAAAATTACAACTGTGGGCAGTAGTCTCACAACTTGAAGCATTGAGTGTCGGGCGCCAACGTTATAATGATTAATTGCTATGTTCTGTGTATGGAATTGTTAAAAAATGAGCATCTGCATTATTATTTTCAGATTATAAAAATGG